CCTGGCTGCCCGCCCTACCGCCCCGCCAGGCCTCGGCCCAGGCGGCGGGCAGGGGCGCCTCTGGGGACCGGGCCGCCTCCCCGGCCTGTATCCATCACAAGACCATCTCCTTCCCCCGGGTGCCCCGCCCTCGGCGCCCGTCCTTGACCCCTCCAGACAGCTCACACTTCCTTGAGTCTCCCAGCCCACCTGGCATTATTCCAAGCAGCTGCTCTTTCCCGCCTTCTGGGCTTTAGGCAAAGTCCCGGGCTGGACACCCGTGTTCTGGTTCCCGCTCCGTCAGTGACAAATCTGGCAAGGACCAGATGCTCTCTGAGGCTCCTTGCGGTCTGTGGAGATAATTCTAGGCCCCTAATGCAATTCTGATGGCAATCCTACAATGGTGCTATAAACGTCTTTCATTTAAATCAGAAGATTTCTAAGTCCCAGTGGCTGGGCTCTGGTTGGTTGTGTTTCTGCTAGTGCTGCCAATGTTCAAATTGACACCTGACAAAAGAATTGAGAGGCCCTTGGGGTTGGCTGGGATCACACCATTTTGGAATTCACAGCAAGTAGGCAGAATGATCATCACCAGCGGCTGCTGGTCTCCCTGCCAGACTGCAAACTCCTTGTGGGCAGCTCTGGGTTTCTTAGGCTTCTGGCACACGGTGCTTAAGGCATATATGTTGAGCAAATTGAGCCTTTGCTGGATCTGTATCTGTAACAAGGCCATCGACTTCCTCCAAGCTGGGGGCGCCCCCTCCTGCTCATTCCCTGGCCAGGCGCAAGGAAGGCCCAGGGAAGAGCAGTGAGGAGCAGCCCTGGAGGGAGGACCAAGGACAGGAAGAACTGCTCTGCTTCGTTGTGGGGAGACAGTGTCCACCTTCCCCGTGGCCCTGGGTTCTGTCCCTGTCTCACAGCTCCCCCTTTTCCAGGCTGGAGCCTTCCCCTGTTGGGCCAGCAGTATCTGGACATCCTGACCTCGTGGTACTGCAGCTTCCAAGCCTGCTGCGACAGCGGGGACTGCAGGATCTCCAACAACTTCACAGGTGGCACCTTGCATGGCCCTGAGGGGCTGGGGATCTGTGGGGAGGAGAGGCAGTCCGGGGGCAATGCAAGGCACCCTTCATCGTCCTGCCCCCAGCTGACAGCACGCCCTCCCTGTCTCCGCCATGGCTCCCAGAGCCCCTGTCTCCACGCCCTGTAACCTCATGGCTGGAAGGAAGGCCTCACAGAGGACTCTGAACACACTAGCTGCCCTCAACAAGTGTTTGCTGAATTGAATTTATTCATGTGAGGGAGTCTCCATAAAGCACCTAGGGGTTCCGAAACCTCTGGGTGGGAGCAACCTCTTGGGCATGGGGGATGGGCTTCCTCCTCCAGACAGGATTCTGCCAACCATTCTCTTTTTTTCAAGATTATTTATTTGGGAAAGAGCGCGTGCACGCGAGTGGGGGGAGGGCCAGAGGGAGAAGCAGGCTCCCCACGGAGCAGGGAGCCCCTAGGGGGCTTGATCCCAGGGCCCTGAGATCATGACCTGAGCCAAAGGCAGCCGCTTAACCGACTGAGCCACCCAGGCGCCCTCTGCCAACCGTTCTGGGGTGTCTTCAGGACCTTCAGAAAGGGTGATTCCCTTCTGTCCCTACATTCAGTCTTGATTTCTCAAGCTTTTCGAAAGTAGCCCTTGCATCCCTTTGGGCTGCAAGGTCTGCCCAGCCGTGTCTTATTCTGAGGCCAGGCAGCCTGGATAGGTGATCCCCCCCTCCCCCAGCTCAGAGATGTTCAGAGGTGCTCTGTCTCCTGGCCGTCGCTGAGCCTGGTGGGGACCCCACCTGTGCCACCCCACCATGGCCGCCTCTTTCCCGCTCCTAGGCCTGGAATGGGACCTGAGTGTGCGACTGCACGGCCAGCATCTAGCCCGGGAGCTGGTCCTGACGACGGTGAGGGGCTACTTAGAGCTGCCCCGGCCGGACAAGGCCCTGGCTCTGTCGTTCCACGGCTGGTCGGGCACAGGCAAGAACTTCGTGGCTCGGCTGCTGGCAGAGAACCTATACCGGGATGGGCTGCGGAGCAACTGTGTCGAGACGTTCATCGCCACCCTACACTTTCCTCACCCGAAGTATGTGGACCTGTACAAGGTGAGGCCGGGGGGTGCTCTGCCGGCAGGCCGTGCACAAGGCTCGGCCAACCTGAGCCGCAGGCTTCTGGGATGGGACGGACGCCCTGAAATCAGCCCTTCCCTGCAAGGAGGTGGCCTCGGAGAAGCCTGGGTGTGGGGGTTGGCGGCCCTGGTGACAGACCCTGTAACCCACAGAGACATCCACTCCACAGAGATACGGCCCTGAGCGTGTGGAGGAAAGATTCATATTCAAACACTGCGCGTCTTGAGCCCTGTCTCCTTATCAGCTGCCCACTGAGCTTAAACAGAGAATCCACGTGATAGTTGTCTGTTCTCGAAGTAGTGGTAATTGTGCAGGAAATGTGGAACAGACAAAAGCAAAAACTATCAGAATCTCCACACAGAGACACAAGCACAGTCCGCATTTGGGTGTACTTCCTTCAGGTTTTACGTCATTGTGATTAACACTGGACAGAAAGTTTAGATCCTGCTTTTTGGGGAGGCTGCGCAAGAGGGAGAGAGAGAATCTTAAGCAGGCTCCACACCCAGCGTGGAGCCCGACGCAGGGCTCGATCTCACGACCCTGAGATCATGACCTGAACCGAAATCAAGAGTCAGGCGCTTCACGGATTGAGCCACCTAGGCACCCATATCCTGCCTTTTTTTTTTTTTTTTTTAAGAGGCATATCATATAAGATTTTCCATGTCTTCCCCAAATCGCCAACAGGTCGGGAGACAAAAATTGTCCTTGCCGCTCTGCTCTTGGGTTTCTTCCATTCAGACATGTAGTATTTCAGATAAGCCGGACGATGGGCAAAACCCCATTGCAGCATGACAGAGATGACTGCATGGTCTTTGGCTTTCGGTCCCCCTCTCTGCAGTGTGTTACCCTGGGAAGATGATATGAGGCTCCGAGCACAGAGCTGGCTGAGGTGCTGGAGGGCAGAGGCTGGGTGAAGCGCCCTGGGGGCCGGCGGCTGGTGGCTAGTCTGCCAGGCCTTCGCAGAAGGAACAAATGGGCTCTGTGGCAGAACTGCTGTGGATCTCCGCTTCCCCACTGTGAAAACAGACCTGTGCACGCTCTCTCTCTCTCACACACACACACACACACATTAGGGTGACGGGGGGGCCGAGGTCAGATCCAGGGAGGCCAGAGGTGGATGGAGTGGGGGCTCTGCTGACAGACCCGCCGGGCGCGGGAGCTGGCCCCCTTCCCCTGCTGTAGCCTGCAGAGGGCTTTCAACTCTCTGGCTGGGGGTGCGGCACCCCCGGGGGCCAGTTGGCTGAGTCCCGGACAGGTCCCACCCAGGCTTCTTCCCTGAGGTGTCAGCCTAGCCTGGGTACTAGTGAGCACCCGCTCGGGGGAGTTCAAGACAGGGGGCTGGGGCTGCCTCCCTGATATTAGAGCCTGGCTCCTACCCCCCAGGGAGGCTGACTGGAGGTTGGTTCTGGGATGGGACCTCATCCTGGAGCGCGGGGAGCAGGGCGAAGCCTAGGGCCTGTTTCCAAGGCCAGGCCAGCCAGCTTCCTCTCCCCAAAGCCCAGGATGCATGAGAATCACCTGAGAAGCTCATCAGGGGTGTGGGCCCTAGCCCCACCCCCACAGGTGTGGATCGGTAGTTGTGGGGCAGGACCCCAGGCGATCCTTTGCAGACGCCAAGCGCGGCCCTCAGGGCTGGAGGAGTGGAACAGGCCTCCCTCTGCTCCCCGGCTCGCAACAGCTCCCTGTATTCCGTGCAGGAGAAGCTGGCAAGTCAGGTCAAGGAGACGCAGGAGCGCTGCCCCCAGACCCTGTTCATTTTTGACGAGGCCGAGAAGCTACATCCGGGAATGCTGGAGGCCCTCAGGCCACACCTGGAACTCCAGGCTCCCGAGAACCACAGGGTCGAGTCCCCGAAAACCATCTTTCTTTTTCTCAGGTGAGGTCTGAGGAACAGTAGTTAGGAGGGCTGGGGGAGGGGAGGGAGGAGCCTCCGTCCAGGTGCCGCTTGGGCCGGGCTTGGGAGTCAGCCGACGGAGAGGGGTGCTTCCACGCCCCCCTGGGCTGCAGACCCTTCTCTGCACGGGAAACCGAGAGGAAACAGGAGCCTGGCTGCTTAGCTGGTAGCAGCGGTGCGGGGCCGTAGTCTCCCAGGTCCTGCCCTGATCCTACCGCTAAGGCTCCTGGAAGGACTCTGACTCCCACGCCCCGCCCCCCCCATCGCCGGCTCCTATCCCTCACCTATCCTCCCCTGCCCAGCACCCCCGTGGCTGTCTTAGGGCGGTGAGGCTCCCCTCCGACTCCCTAGAGCACACAGCCCCCTGGGGAGGGACCACTCACACACTAGGAATCCCCTCTTCGAAGGGCATTTTGGGGATTGCGGGCCTTTTTTGTTGACCTATAATAGACAGCATTAGTTCCAGGCGTGCACCATGATTCAGTATTTGTATATGCGCGTATTGCGAAATGATTGCAGTGAGTCTGGTTAACACCCGTCATCATACATGATTACACAACTTTTTTCAAGATCTACTCTGGGCAGCTTTCAAATATGCGGTGCGGTGTTATTAACCCGGTCGCCACCACGCTGTACTCTGCGTCCCATGACTTACTCATTACTTAACGCCGCCGGCCTCGGGCAACCGGCCATCTGTTCCTGGTCTCTGAGCTTGGTTCCTTGTTGTTCTTGTTACTCTTTTAAGATTCCACGTATGAGCGAGATCATAGGGAATTTGTCTTTCTCTGACTTATTTCATTTAACATGATGCCCTCAAGGTTGTTGTTGCAAATGACAAGATTTCATTATATTTTATGGAATTTTATGACTAATACTCCACTATGTGTGTGTGTGTAGCGCATTTTTGTCATCCATCCGTCAGTGGGCACTTAGGTGGTTCCCATATTTTGGCTAGTGTAAATAATACTGCAGTGAACATGGGGGCATGTATATCTTTTTTAATATTTTTGTTACTTTTGGATAAATCCCCAGAAGTGGAACGGCTGGATCATAGGGTAATTTTACCTTCAGCTTTCTGAGGAGCCTCCACAGTGTTTCCCACAGTGGCTGCACCAGTTACATTCCCACCCCCAGCGCACAAGGGTTTCCTTTCTTCCACATCCTCAATAACACTTGGTATTTCTGGTCTTTTTGGTTACAGCCATTTTCACAGATGTGAGGTGGTATCTCATTGTGGTTTTGATTTGCATTTCCCTGACAATCAGTGATGTTCAGCACATTTTCATCCACCTGTTGGCCATCTGTTTGCCTCCTTTGGAAAAATGTCTGTTCAGATCCTCTACCCATTTTTAATCAGATTATTTTTTTGCTATTGAGTTGTGTGAGCTCTTTATATTTTTTTATTTTAACCCTTATCAGATATATGATTTACAAATATTTTCTCCCATTCAGTAGGTTGCCTTTTCATTTTGTTGGCTTCCTTTGCTATGCAGAACTTTTTAGCTTGATGTGGTCCCACTTGCTTATTTTTGCTTTTGATGTCAAATCCAAAAATTCATTGCCAAGACCGATGTCAGAGAGCTTACTACCTGTTTTCTTCTCAGAGTTTTAAGGTTTCAGGTCTCACATTTAAGTCTGATCCATTTTGAGTTAATTTTTGTGTACGGTGTGAGGTAGTGATCCAGTTTCATTTCTTTATATTTGACTGTTCAGTTTTCCCAACACCATTTATTGAAGAGACTGTCCTTTCCCCATTGTATATTCTTGGCTCCTTTGTCATAAATTGACCATATGTGCCTGGGTTTATTTCTGGGCTATTTTGTTCCACTGATCTATGTGTCTGTTTTTATGCCAATACCATACTGTTTTGATTATTACGGCTTTGTAATATAGTTTGGAATATAATTCACATACTGTGAATCCCTTCTTAAAAGGGCATTAAGTTTTCAAAGCAGCACATTTGTTGAAAATTAAGTACAAACTATCCTCGAAAATTCCCAAGGTAGACTCAGTTGGAGGATGGTGTCCCATTAAGTCCAGTGTGGCTGGTTCTTTCTCCAGCCTTGGAAGGTCTGTTTCTTCTCTGATCACGAGAGGAGGTCACTGGCTCAAAATTCAGGGTATGATGTGTTGAATGAAAAGCTCATGCTTTCACACCTGTGCTGAGATCTGCACCCTGACCATGCAGGACTCATCCCTTAACCATTATACGACATGACCTGTTTTGTTTGCCTGTATACTCTGGAAATGGCTTTGTAAAAAGTGAATTGAGAAATCAGCTTGTCCAATCCTATCTTTTTGTGGTGGCTCCAACTGGGAAAATCCTGCCCAACATCTATTAGAAGTCCAGTTTGGGTTTCTGTTGGCCCAACCCGAAATGCTTCACAAGCCACTTCTTAAACTCAGAGTGGAAGAATAACCCATTGCTCCCGCTCCCCAAACCCCCTTCTCCCGTTCGGTAGGCCTGTACGTACTGGCTAGGGACTTTTCTTCAGTTTTGCATGCACCCTCTGAAGGTAGAGAAATAGGGAGTCTGGATTTTTATCCAGTTTGGAACGTGTGGAGGCAGATCCTGTGTCACTGTGGACCCACAAGACAAGCTGGAACCAGTTGAAACTTGCCCCGTTGGGATTTCAGTGTGGTGACAGCAAGCCCTTCCTGGTCTATGATTAAGGCTTATGGGACACAACAGTGCACTGTGGAGGGACGCAGCATGGGGAGGGGGGTGCTCCCAAGGGGATTTTATTTTATTTTTTAAATATTTTCTTAGAGCGAGAGAGAGCACGAGTGGGGTGAGGGACCAAGGGAGAAGCAGGCTCCCTTAGACCCTTAATCTGAGTGACCCTGGCGCCCCCCAAGGTGATTTTGAAAGAAAAGCAGAGAAGCTGACCTGTCCCTGACTTGAGCTGTGGTCCCAGGGCGCTGCCTTTCCCTTTCAGTTCGCAGCTTGGAAAACCCCCACCCTTGCCGGTGAATGTGACCCAGGTGACCTTGCATCTCTAGGCAAATGTTTGCCTTTGTAGTATTTTGGTCATTGACCTGCGGGCAGTGCCCTAGTCCCCTTTAGCCCTGCCCTTTCCCCCAGTGACCTGGCCTCTGTGCACTGTCCGAGGCCAGGCGGTCACCAGGGAATGGACGGGAGGCTGGGGTGGCAGCTGGGCCTGGGGAGAGAGCCACCAGGGGGGAAAGCCGCCCCATGGGACCCACACTTGCTGGGGGATGGAGAGGCCGTGCCAGTTCTCCATGCGGAACCCCTGGGGAGGACGCACACCTGTGACAAGGCCTCGAGGGAGTGGTCTCCGGTTCCAGGGGCTCCGGCGCAGGCCTGGGCCCGGCCTAGGGAGTCCGTGGGGTTTGACAGGCCTGGGTGCGGGCTGACCGTGCAGCTCAGTGCCATCCCCACCCCTGCCCCCGGGTGCCCAGACAGCAGCACTTCTAAACCCTGAAGGTTTCCAGGTACAGATCTTCGTCAGTTTGCGGTGGGATTATGTCCCAATAAGCTCATCGTAAGCTGAAAATGTATTTAGCACACCTAACCTACTGAACACTACAGCTCAGCCTCGCCTACTTTAAATGTGCTCACAGCACACACATTAGCCTGCAGTTGGGCAAAATCATCCAACACAAAGCCCATCTTCTAACAGAGAGTAGACCGTCTCATGTAATTGGATGAATGGCATACTGACAGGAAGAGCGTGGTTGTGCGGGTGCAGATGGTTTTAAGGGTGTCACTTGTCGACCCCTGTGATCGCGTGGCTGCTACCTAGCATCACGAGTCGGGATCAGACCGTGTGCTTCGCTAGCCCAGGAAAAGATCAAAATTCAAAGTGAGATTTCTGAATGCTTACTGCCTTTGTATCCTTGTCAAGTAGAAAAATCGTTAAGTCGGGGGCCGTCTGTATTCTAGGGATGGGCCGGGGAAGGCCGTATTTGAGTCTCTGGATTTGAGGTCTACGGTGGCCTCACCCCCGTGCTGAGGGCTCCTGTGTTTGAAAGAAAAGCACGGCTGATTCGAGCTGTTGGTGGGAACAAGTCACATTCGTTGAAGGCCAGCAGTTTAATCCTGAAAAAACTCCTAAACATGCTTAAGTGAGGTGCTGGGGGGTTGCAGTCCTGCCCCGTGGTGGTGGCAGTCGGAGTAGGGGTGTCCTGGGCGCCAGGCTCGAGGGCCTCCACTAACGCCGAGGACTTTCACCTGTCTCTACCGTTCTAGAGAATGCTCCTGGAACGGGGTCGTGGAACTCTGGTCCTCTTCTTCGGGAAGCAGTCCGTGAAAGGGAAAGGAGAGAAAGGACTTTTAACAATTAAAAGAATACTAATGTAAATTGTTCATGGAATCAAAAGCCTTGTAGAAATGTGTATTTGTTGACCATTGAACCTAAGGTGACGTAAGGGGGCAATCAAATTGTCTGGGCCAATTCTCTTATTTTACAAATGAGGACACTGAGGCTCTGCGAGATTAATAAGTGAGTGTTTATATCTCTTCTTTAAGAAGGACTTAGCAATTAAGGTTTGGGGTTTAAGAGTTCTGGAGAGGCCTTTGAAGTCCCTTTCCTTTGGGGTCTTGGGGCTAAGGGCTGGGAAGAGGACATGTCCTGTCCCAGAGCCAGGGAACAGGCTGGGCTTCAGAGGTGCCTTCAGACCCCTCGGCAGCCGGGGACCTGGGAGGATGTGGAGAACGGAGGTCCTCCAGGAAGGCCCCAGCTCTCTAAAGGAGCAGTCCTGGTGCCAGAGGGGCAGTCCTGAGGAGCTGAAGACTAGGGCAGGTGAACAGAGACGGGTCTGTCTTGGTGGGTGAGAGAAAAGCCGCCCATAACCAAGAGGAAGAAGACATGGGTGATGGGACAAAGCAAGAAGAGAAATTGAGGAGAGAGATGGAAACAGTGTAGACAAATGTGCAGACGTGTGTCAATTCGTTAAATAACGTTTACTGAGCACCAAGCACAGCAGTCCATGCTCCTGGGGCTGGATGAGTGCGTCGCCCTCCAGCCCACCCCCGTGTCCACCTGCCCTTGCCTCCCACGGGGAATGCAGGATGGGGCAATCCCTTGGCAGGGGACAGCTCTTGCGTCCGCTGACAGAAGATGACCTGCCTGGCAGGCCTTCCTGCAGCAGCCTCCCTGTGTGCAGGTGTCACGGGAAGTCTGGCTGGGCAGCTGAACTTGAGCAAGGGGCGAGTCCCCCAGCTGGGACTCAGGACCCCTAGGACAATCTGGCTGGGAGGGGTGCACCGGCGCCCACGGGAAGGAAGCACTGGATCACTGGGCAGTCCTGGCTCACCCAGCAGCGGCGGCAGGCAGGGAGAGAGCCTGGCACACGGGACACACTCTAACGCCAAACAAGCAAATGGGTTAATGTACCTGCGAGTGTCAGATGGCCAGCCAGAGCTTCAGGAGAAGAGAATGGAGCTACCCCCTCACACTGCAGGCCTGAGCAGGGCTTGGTTTGAGGAGCTGGCAGGGGGCGTCGGGTGAGGAGTATGCACCCGGCGGGGAGGGGGGGGGCACGGAGGAAGTGCTGCTGGCCCCAGGTCCCCACCTCCTCCTCCTAGCTTCCCTGGTGCTGGCTCTCATTTCTTCTTAAGTTTTATTTAGGTCACCTCTACACCCACATGAGGCTTGAACTCACGACCCAGAGATCAAGAGCCGCATGTTCCTCCAACTGAGTCAGCCAGGCGCTTCTGATTTCTTCTCTCCTTACCCCGTCTCCCTCATCTCTCTAACCCAGTCCTCTCTTGTGCTTTGGACCCATCATTCCAGTTGCCTATTGCTATCACAACCCTTAGATCGCAAGCAGGTGTAAAACGTGTGTGCACGCACGCACGTAGATCCAAGCTTTCGTCACTACCCTTCTACATTCACGCCACTCGGCAGTGGCTGGGAGACAGCGGGCAGCTTACAACAAATGCTTGTGTGTTTTGATGACTTCTTTTCCCTCACTTCTCACATCCCTTAGTCACAGAGGCCTGGCCGATGGGCCTCAACTAGTTCTTCAATCCTTCTACCTCTAAACAGGGACTGTTGCAAAAAGCTCCCTGACCTACTTTCCATAACCATCCCATGCCTCTTCAATGCAAGCTCTGTGGCCCTAGAATGATCTTAGGAGGTAAACCAAATCAGGTCACCCCACCACCCTCCACTCCCACGTTCAAACCCCTGCAGTGGTTCTCTCTGGCCTGTAAGCTAACGTGTGTGTGTGACAGACAGTAGCCTCCACCTGCCCCAATGCCTCTGCTGCTCCAGCCCTGAACCCCACACGCCCCCTGCTCGTCCAGGCCGGGACACGCATGCTGTCCCGTCAGCTTGCGCTCAGAAGCCACATCCTCCCTCTTAAGGCTTCTCCCTGGGCCTTAGGCACTCCTGCTTTAGCACCTGCCCCGCAGTCCTGGAGTCACAAGCCCTGTCCTTCCCCACGGAGAGGTCAAGGGAAAGCTCCACATCATGCCATCGCTGTGCGCCCTGCCCCTCGCATGGACTATGTGTCGTGTCAAAGGGGAGCAAGACCGAGAGGACAGTGTCTTCTGTGCAGACTTTGGGTTGTGACAAGATCTCCTGGAGAAGGAGAGGCCCTCGACCTCCATTCTTCCGGTCATGCATGCAGTGGCCTCAGTGGTCCGTATAGCTAAACAGAAAAAGAATAAGATGTGTTCACAAGCTCTTGTCCCTTTCAGTAACCTTGGTGGCAATACCATCAATGAAGCTGTCCTGACTCTGCTTCAGGCTGGAGGGGCCCGGGAAGAAATCAGGCTGGACCAGCTGGTGCCCCGGCTCCAGGCCGAGATGGAGTCCACGGGTAAGTGGCTCCCAGCCTCTCGGGATGGCGGGGGG